ATTCTTTGAAGTGAAATCTGTAAGCATAGTCTATGCTCTAGTCTGCACAAAACCTCCTGACCATAGCTATAGTCTCTGCTCAGCTATTTGTAGCTCTTATTGACATTTTTGAATTGATCTTATGTTGATGTTCTGAACTCACTGATAAATTTCGTAAGAGTTGATTATCACAGCATTATTTACGTTTCTTGTGAATAGTGGTGGCTGAGTCATGTTTTGTTCCCATAAGTTATTGTATTAGTCACAAATGGGTTTAACGTGAAACATCTGAGAATTTCTATGAAATTGCGAAACTGTTGTCAATCTAAAAACATTTTTTACAGTCGATATTTGGTCAGTCGGTTGCATATTTGCTGAAATGATTAATCATCGTGTGCTGTTTCCCGGATTGGATAGGTGAGAGACAAACTTCCAAGGAGCAACTTCTTCAAATAGAGTTCTATATTAAGGGTCGACCAGTGGACGAAAATCATCCAAGTGATGGGAACACCAAGCGAGGAATTCATTTCTAAACTTGGCAGCAGCGCGTCTGTGTAAGTTTATAAGTACAGACTCATTAGAATCACACTAGATTTGATACATTCGATTATGTTAGTGTTAAGGTATGTGCGCTCGCTCCCACGTCAGGTTGGAAAACCAATCGAAGAAATAGCTCCAGATGTGAACTTCCTAAAGAATACGGAAAACGTTCGAGCTCATCTAACAGGTTTGTATTAATAGTCGTCCTTAAACTCTCCCTTTTCTGAATAAATGGAACCGTTTTGTTTCCCTAGTAGGCTTAGGTACTATGATAGAGCAAAGTAAGCCTCTACAAGATGGCCACCAAAAACCAACCTAGTCGTAATCCACGTAAATTAGAAGCCAAAAACTGAATTTCTCAACTACCCTAAAAGTCTTATCTCTTTCCAGAAATTTCCCATGGACCTACTGAGTCACCATGCAATAGACGCTTAGTAAGATTCATGTATAAATTTGCTGGATTTATCCCCGGCTAAAAAACGAACAGAAGTAGTCTAAGGCCGAAAACATACCCCACGCGATTTCAGTCGCGATGCGATTTGGCAACGCTCCAATTGGTCATAACTCATTGTAAGAGTTCTGAATGTACGAAAGATAAAACATCTTAGCAACCTACGAAAGTTATACATCTGTGCCATCGGGGTAAGATCGCGCGGCGACTGAAACGCGTGAGGTATGCGTTGGGCTTAAAATGCAAAAATACACCTTTTTCGGATCTTCATGTAAAACTTGGGATTTCTCGGTTATAAGAGCACATACAAAGATGTAATTTTGAGGATCACACTTGCACTTGAACGCATATGTGGAAGAAGCTGGGACGGTATTTGCTAAATTTGAACGTTGTTCTCGAGTTTTATGCTTAAAAAGTTCAACAAATGCTTTTTTGAAAACGAGTACATATGTGTAACTATG